CCCCAGCGCGAAGAATGGAAAGGAGCGTGCAGCAAGGAAATGGACAATCTGCGGAAACACAACGTCTACAATCTGGTGCCCCTCAGCAGCGTTCCCATAGGAGAGAAGATCCTCGGAACGAAATTCGTCTTCAAGAAAAAGCTGGACGGACGCTTCAAAGCTCGCCTGGTAGTCGGAGGACATCGTCAAGAGCCAGGACAGGACTACGGACGCAGCTACGCACCAGTATGCCGTATCGGGAGCATTCGCATGACGTGCGCCATCGGCTGCCACAACAACTGGCCCATCTACCAACTGGACATTGTCGGTGCCTTCCTGAACGCCCTCTGCGACAGAGATGTGTACGTCAGACCCGCCCCCGGTACATCCGCCAAGAACTCCGCGACGGGAGAACCCATGGTGTACNGTTCAATCCGACCCCTGTGTGTACGTGGATACCAGCGGCAACATCATCGTGATTCTCACGGTCTACGTAGACGACATTCTCATCACAGGAGGAGACCAGCAGCTCGTGGACCAGAAGAAGAAGGAGCTCACGGATCGATTCGAGATGACCGACATGGGAGAGGTAAAGCGGATCCTCGGGATCGACGTGCAGCGGGACTACGAGCAAGGAACCCTGGCCATTTCACAGGAGCACTACGTGAACACACTTCTGGAGCGGTTCGGAATGCAAGAGGCCAACCCAGTGAGCACTCCTGGATACGGAGCGGAAATCTCCACGAATCAACCTCAGGACCAAATCCTAGGACCCACGGACAAGAAAATCTACCAGTCGATGACAGGAAGCATCCTCTACCTGGCCCAGTGCACGCGATTCGACCTCTCCTACGCTGCCCTACAACTTTCCAAGGCCTGCAGCAACCCAGCGCAGGTGAACATGACAGCAGCCAAGCACGTTCTGCGATACCTTCGGGGTAATCCAGTTCTTCCTATCGTCTACAAGAGAGGACAGTTTCGGCTAGCGGCGTTTACGGATTCATCCTTCGGAGCAAACCCCGACAACGGAAGATCTACCACGGGATATATATCTCTTCTTTCTGGCTGGAGGACTCATCAGCTACGGTGCGAAGACTCAAACTCTAACCGCGTAAAGCACGGTCGAAGCCGAGATTGAAGCGCTTAGGTACCCAGCCAGAGAGGCGGTCTACATCTCAATTTTCATGACGGAACTCAACTTCAAGACCTTCGGATCGGTTCCCATCAACAGCGACAGCACCGGAGCGCTGACAGTGGCCGGGAATGCCATGCACTCTCAACGCACGAAGCACGTGGCCCTGAGGTACTATTTCATCCGGGAGCTAGTACTGCGGGGACAAATCACTCTTCACCACCGGCCCAGCGAGCACCAGTTGGCTGATATCGCAACAAAATACCTCCCAAAGCACCGATTCGCCTCCATCATTCAGCAGAGCAACGACTTCTCGTGTTGATCGAAGATCTGTATAGCTTCCTTCCATACCCGCCATACCAGAAGGAATTTATTTTCGATACGATGCCAACGGAGGGATCGAGGTAGACAAGGATGTGGTGATGCCGTCGACCATTGTGAATTAGTTGCTTGATCGAGGGGTCGTATCAGGAAGAATCGTGCGTCGAGACCACCAGTAGTTGGACACGGTTTGACCTTTGAATACGATTGCAGCAACTAGTCTGCGTAGCAGTAGAAAAGAATCCATCTCTCCTNGGAAACTTCTGGTTCCTTCTGTAAGCTTCTGGAAGCGTGCTAGATCTAGGTTGCAGTTGATACTCTTCCAAAATGTAGGAGGGCTCCCAGAAATCATTCTGGAAGCATTCTGGATCTTTCGTGTGATTGGAATATTTGTCCGGTATTCGAGAAGAGTGGTGCAGCCCTAAGCTCACCCATCTCTCTTACTCCTCTTCAGTACCAGCAACATCTGACTCGGGAGTCAGCGATTAATAACAACATCTTCATATTTCATTCCAAGTCTCTCGCGGTTGGAGCCGCACAGAGTGTGAACCTCTGAGGTAGGCTACACAGCCTCCTGGCATCTGCAGCATCGTGCTGCTGCTAGTGCANCGCACAGAGTGTGAACCTCTGAGGTAGGCTACACAGCCTATCGGCATCTGCAGCATCGCACTGCTGCTAGTGCACAGCGAAATATACTCTGACAGCTGTTAGATGTACAACATATCCACTGAGCTGCTCAGTGGATATGTTGTACATCTAACAAAGTACAACCAGGGTCCGAACAGCTGTTAGGCTGTCTGACTCTGGTTTTCCCCCAGGGTTGTAATCCCTGTAATCAGCGCTGCCCCAAGCGGTTCATCGTCTTACAGGCGGGGATGTATGTCTTCATCCTTGACGACTGGTGATGTGTACCATGCCTTTCAGGTGTATATCCCAGACTTTTTTCTCTTTCCGGAAAAATGGCGTCAAAACGGCTTCCACAGGAACTCGAACGCTGGTTGTACTTTTGTTAGATATACAGCATATCCACTGGGCTAGACAGTCAGCGCTGACTGTTTGGCTCAGTGGATATGTTGTGCATCTAACAATCCGTACAAATCAACCCCCTACCCCCAGCACGCACATCGTGGCGAGGGTCTCGGAAGCGGTCGGTGACCTCTGTCCACAAATGTTTCCGCGGCCCAACTGCTGAGGTGTCCAGCTCCTGCCGGGTCACCTGCAAGCGGCTGTTGATGACAAGTGGGCGGATAAAGTCTTCGCACAGGATCCCAACAAGCCGCATCATGCAGTGTGGGTCCTTGCGCTCCGTGATGCTGCCACTTCCTCCGGCGGAACCACCCCCGTCCGGTCCGGTTGCACCACCCGTCGACAAACTCCCGCCGGCAGATTCCTCCAGTTAGTTCCAGTTTGTCGTCCTTCTCCATGGCGTCGAAAAGGTCCGCCACACTGCTGTAGTCCACACCCTCGACTGTAAACGGTTCAGTTCTGTCACGTGCTAGGGCAACAGTGTTGACAACGCCTCGAAACATAAGCAGCGCATTCGCAGGGATGGCTCCCTCCTCCTCCCCCCCCTCCTGCTCGCTGCCGCGTCCAGATTTGCCTGCGCGAACGCCTGGATATGAGAAAGAAAGTGGCCCAGACAATGAATACATACGCCTTCGCATGAGAGGAAGCCTCAGGTGTACACGCCCAAGTTTGCCAAACTACATATTCCTATTGACTGTCCTCCACAAAACATCGTTCACCTTACCTTACTTCCCTCTGGGCGTGAGAGGACAGAACACCCAAAGATTTACCGTACGTATTGGTCGGTGCACCACCGATTGAATATCGTCAAGAAAGCATGCCGTGTGGTACGCTGTGAGTGCCTTCAATATTCTACCTACTGGGGCAAATAAAACAGCTCTCGAGCATGCCGTAATTTACCTGCTACTGTACAAATAGGTTGATTTGAAGCGGGCACTACACTCACACAGCAGTATTTTTGTTTTGTTTCCTCTGCGCACACTTCGTTCAATTGCAGAGTAACTACCTATGTTTTGTCGATACTCTGTGTCGTCTGCTAGGGCTCTAATCGACGACGAATCTACACAATACCAGCATCTCACCGGCGGCGATAGCATCGAGGTCGTCGAAGTACGGAGATGGCCGTTTCATGTTGGCATCGAGAGATCGCAGGGCCGCCACCAGGACATCCTTGCTCTTCTGCGACATCCTCGGGATCTGGCGGTGCGCGCATGTCCGCTTCAGAAAATGTGTGGCCGAGTGCGGGTAATCCTTGCCCCGGGCTTTTTTGGCACTCGCGTGATGGGATGCTGCTGCTTTNTCACACAGCAGTATTTTTGTTTTGTTTCCTCTGCGCACACTTCGTTCAATTGCAGAGTAACTACCTATGTTTTGTCGATACTCTGTGTCGTCTGCTAGGGCTCTAATCGACGACGAATCTACACAATACCAGCATCTCACCGGCGGCGATAGCATCGAGGTCGTCGAAGTACGGAGATGGCCGTTTCATGTTGGCATCGAGAGATCGCAGGGCCGCCACCAGGACA